CAAGCCTCTGAAGCCCCCCTCATAGGGGTATCAGCCCCAGAGCAGAGGCACATAAAGGCCATAATCAGTCGACTGCATCCAAGGGACGCGGAAGATAGCGGGACATCCTTCTCTTTTTAGGGAGGGGTAGGGGTATGGGCATATAGAGAGAGAGAGAGGAGAGGTGGAGTGAGTGCTGCGGAGAGAGAAAGAGAGAGAAGAGAGAGCATGATAGAGTGATGACTCATGCCAGAAACTCAAAACTGCTGTCGGCAGAAAGAGCTTTCTGTCAGAGTTTGTCAAGGACATTGACTGAGCTTCTCAGTGACATCACAGAAATGTGACCAATAGAATTTCATCAGCTTATAGGCAGTGCATACAGAGCATCACTGTGGCCTACTATGAAGGATTCAGGGCATTACGTTCTTACGTGCCCACTTTATGCACTAAATTGCTTTGTTACCTTGATAACATGATAGCAACAAAATCATGTTTGTGGTTGTTAAAAGAGTCTTGCAGGTATAAGCTTTTTGTGAAAAAGAAGTACACTTGGGCATGCTCTTAAAAAGAGTTAATATTATGGAAATATAATTTAAAAGTATATAGTTAAGTGCAAGTTAAATGTAATGTTTTTTAGACACGTAATTGCATGTTAATTGCACATCAATGAAAATGTATTATAGTTTAAATGAGTATTAAATGCAATTTGCTAGCTAGTGTTTTTGACCCATCCATCAAAAACACTAAAAACACCATAAAGTATCCATCTTTATATCTAATTTCATAATTCATTCTATTGTCTTTGAAATATGGTTAAACTGTTGAATGTAATGACAAGCAATTATGCTAAACTAAAATATAATATAATTTCTATTGAAACTTGATTGTCTTGTATTGAAATATATATTTGTAATTACACATTTGTAACGATGTAGTTGTGATTTATTAATATATATATATTAAAATATATTGTTTTTAAAATGTATGTAAAATTACAAATTTGTAATGATGTAGTTGCAGTTTAGTATGTTTAAAGTATATGAATTTATATAGAAATCTAATATCAAACACACTACAGTTAAAAATTACAATCATGTTCTTTATGTAATTTGGTATGTCAACACATCAAAATAAGTGCACTTTAAAGCTTGACAAACAATTATTAAAACATAATGGTTTAAAATTAACTGTATGTAATGTAGAAGTTTTATATTGATGTCATTAAAAATTCACTTTTTAAATGTACATAAATGTGTTAAGAAACAGTAACAAAGATATTTTATTTTTTATTTTTTTAATACTTTTAATATTTGAAGTACACTACACTGCAGAGCTAATGGAAAAGTTCACTTAAAATGAAAATGGCCACCATTAACCTCATGTTCTTTGAAACCCATATGCAATTATTTAACAGGAATTGTCTACGGAAAAAATGTCCAAGCTGTTTTTTTTTTTCATTACAGTGAAAGTGAATGGTCACTACAGCTGTCAAGTGAGATTTTTAGTGAATAACTTACATTTCAGTCTGTTCATCATACAATATACAAGTAGCCATACAGGTTTGGAAGAGGGTTTTTTTTTTTCTTTTCTCTGTAGTGTTTGAGTACAAACATTTCTTGGACGTCTCATAAATTCAACATAGTCTAATAATTCTCATGAACACCCCATTGCTCAAAATATATGGTTTTCAAATCTGCATAATTTAACATGAAGCATTTACATAAACAGCGTGTGCAGAGTGGCTGATTAGTGTTAATGCAACCACATAAATGCAAAATGGTAATGTGGCATTAGAGCATGACACAAAGAGATGTTTTTGAAAGGTCTTTAAAGCTTTAAAGGCCTCTTGAAAAATCTTATGTTTGTAGCTTTTAGTTGAGGCCATATGTGTTAGTATACTCCTAAAGGCTGACGAAATAAACTTGACAGATAAACACATTTAAAATATACAATCTTTCTCTTGGACCGAAACTATTGATGACATATTCTCCCTCTCAGGTTTGTATATAAATGACGGCACTATAAGAACTTACATAGTCCAAAGTCGTTTACTAATAACTAAGTAAATAAAGTGTAAAATATGGCGGCAGTCAGGGAAAAAAGATACATGTGCAAAATTTGAGATTAATATATTGCCTGCTAAAAATGAATCTCTCAGAATACACTGCAAGATTTAGATTACAAAAAATAGATTATTTTCCCCCTGCATAATGTTGTAGTAGTTAAAAAAAGTGCAATGTGTCCTGCCTTGAAAAATATATCAAGACAGGAAAGAAAGTCATATTTTTCAAACCATGGAGTGGTTTGTGTCCTAATCCAAACAAATCATTCTCAATTTGCATATCATTTATGGAAGCCTAATAACCATATCATATACCCTGTCTTCATTTCAGACTGGCTTGAAGGACGCTGCGTTCATATGGAGTACAACAATCATATTTTATACTAATATGCTAACAAGAGTCATGAACCTAAAAAAATGAATGCCATACCTGTTTTATCTTACAACATCTTTCACGTGTGGTATTTTTAACATGCTTTTCTCTTTGCCAGATTATTATATTATCAACAACTAGCTTGTTAGTTGATGTTATCAAAGTGTAAAAAGCCTGTTAGCCTATCAATATGGCCAGTTCAGCAAAAAGGAAAGAGAGGCAGTGTTATGTTTTGACTAAACTAGTTAAACTTCATTGTTTGGCTTGGCATGCAAAACCACTTCAGATATGACTGTATTCACAATACAGCAAATCATTGAGGGCCTTATAGCAATTATAATATACAACATTGGAAAGAAAATGCTAGTGAGTGATTTTTTTTTATTTTTTTATTTTTTTTTAACTAAAAACTGTTTTTGTCTTGTGGCTATGCTATTGAAACAGTATTTTTTAACATTTACAGATTGTCCCCATTTTGTTTCCATTGTAAAGTGCCTCAGTGCAACTCAGATTTTTGATTATTTCTTTATTTATTTATGTTAAAGAAAAGTGTTCTTTGAAGTCGCAATGGAACTGAAGCAGCAACAGATCGAAGTGTGAAGTGCATCCTAGTGAAATGGGAAATGAAGGACGAAAAAGATGTAGGGCGGGGACTTTGTTCTATTTATCGCTTGTTGATTGGAAGGAAGCAGATCTGAATATGAGCTTGCAGTCAACTATAAAAAAGGGGCGGGGTTTAAGTGGACGATATGATTGGAGAAGTCCTGCATACATCACTAGAGAGAAGTCTGTCATTTTGGAAGATTGGAAGATTGAGTTAATGACATTTTGATTAAACAGAAAGAAAGAAAGAAAGAAAGAAAGAAAGATGTGTGAATTAACTGTTCACTGTTCACAATAATGGTACACTGTATAAAAAATATAATAAAAAATTAACATATTGGAGTATGTTTTACAAGAAAATACTATTTCAATCGTTCTACCTCAATTTCACATTTAATACAATGGTGATAGTTGCTGTTCCTTTGTAATTATTGGTTAAATTTACTAGCAATTTCTCAGTGAAAAATAAGTTAAAGTAAACCCTACATCATTTATTTTGATATTTATTTATTTACTTACTTATTTGTGACCCTGGACCACAAAACCAGTCATAAGGGTCAACTTTGTGAAATTGAGATTTATACATCATCTGAAAGCTGAATAAATAAGCCTTCCATTGATGTATGGTTTGTTAGGTTTTGTGTTTGCATGAATGACTCTGTGCACCTTCTATATATTAGTATATACTTCTGCTTGTGGCGAAGCTACTTGTGATGAGCTTTGATTCTTCATGTGGCTTTCTCTTTTACCACCTGCATTATTATGGTGGTTGTCAGTATGTTAAAGGTACAAAACAGATTTTAATAGCAGTGTGCATTGTTGAATTTACTGGTCTACATTCAAATTTTCTTGTTTGTAAATTAAAATTGTAAAATTTACAGTTTTTGGCCGTAAATGTGTTTACAGTTTTTCTGTATTTTTTACAAAATTATTCTGGCAACCACAGCTGCCAAAATTATTTTGTAAAAACTACAGCATTTTTTTTACAGTGTACAGTAGAAATACTTGAAACATGTACATTCAGAACAGCAGTGTAAGTCTGACCATTAAATAACCCTGCAGACGTACCTGTACGACAGTGATGCTGAGGCGGCCAGCTGTTGCTAAAGATCCTCCGTACTGCAGCTGTCGGGCCGCCTGGGCGTCTAACTGCACCTGCTGCTGCTGCTGCGTCGGGGTGATTCTCAGGAAATCCTGAGGCAGCTCACCGATGTAGACCTGAACACACCATAACACCAGCTTTTGATTCTGTGCAATGAGTTACAATACGTCAGAATCACAAAAACACTTTTTTTCTTGTAATTACTAGTCATTGTATCTTTGATCACCTCGGGTGATTACTGACTGCTAAAGTACCTCTAATAACAGAGCTATGGTTGAATTTTTAATAAAGACAAAGAATTTCTGTAGCCATTAGAATGAGAACAACCTTAGAGCAACCCTGTTTAAAACCCTCCATTGCATGGAAAATCGGGGTGATGTGCCTCCTGGTAAAGAGACTGAAATATCTGAATTTTCATAAAGAGATACTATAATGGTTAGAAATGAATCTATTTATTTATTTAATGCCATGTCAGCATCTTAGGCTGGTATTAGTATCTGAAATTGATTTGAATATACAATGAATAATACAATACAAAGCCTCTGTTACTATATGTGACCCTGGACCACAAAATCAGTCATATAGGTCAGTTTTTTTAAAATTGAGATTTATACCTCATCTGAAAGATGAATAAATAAGTTTTTCCATTGATGTATGGTTTGTTAGGATAGGACAATATTTGGTCGAGATACAACTATTTGAAAATCTGGAATCTGAGGGTGCAAAATAAATCAAAATATTGAGAAAATTGTCTGTTGTCCAAATGAAGTTCTTAGCAATGCATATTACTAATCAAAAATTAAGTTTTGATATATTTACGGTAAGAAATTTATCAAATATCTTCATGGAACATGATATTTACTTAATATCCTAATGATTTTTGGCATAAAAGAAAAATCGATAATTTTGACCCATACAATGTATTTTTGGCTATTGCTACAAATATACCCCAGCGACTTAAGACTGGTTTTGTGCTCTAGGGTCACAATTATCTGAACTCAACTTGCCAGCTTGGAAAACAATATTGACCAATCAGCATTCAGGATCACAACTATCCATTTTAAAATGGACTGTCTAAACTGTATAACCTTAAATGTAGAAAATGTATTTATTTATTTATTTGAGAAGGTATTGATTCATGATAAACATATTGTGAAAGCAGGGAATTAATTCTTTTAAATTCTCTGTCTGCATCAAACCACGCAAACCTCACTTGAACGTCGCTCCGTTTACCGTCAACCAAATTTTTCCAAAAAGAGTGCATTTGTTGAGTTCCTGGCCGGAGACATGCTGGGGGCGATATCTGTCTCCCACTGTCAGGAATGGAGCCACGGCGAGTGGGTGGCTGTCGGGCCGCGGCTCTATGCAGAGGTTCCATGTGCCCACGTCTCAGAGCGCTCAGAGTCACGCTGTGCTAATGCGTTATCCGTGTGAATGAGCTCACGCTATGCTGAGCAGATAAAACCCCCACACTGACTCATCTGAAGGGAAAAAAACTGCATTATAGACAAAAAGAGCGAGAGGAAGGGGGGAATGGAGGAGGGCGCTTTAGTGGCTTTGTCATGAATATTCTAATTGGCAGTGTTATTTTTTATGATTATTAAGACTGACCCCGGGGCCCTTAGCAGATCTAATGTAGCAGAAAGGGAACAGCCACAGAAGACTGTTTAGTTCTCTTTCTCTCTTTTTCACTTGTCTGTTGTCCATTTACAGCCCACAGCATATGTGAATCCATGTTTCTGTATTTGTCTCTGGTGTAGTGTGGATTTAATGTGTTTGTGAGTCTTGTGAATGCAACAAATCCTTTTTGATACTGTCAAGAATGGATTGTTTACTGGTGATTCAAAAGCTATAATCCGATCAGAAATTGATGGAAGATTACTTTGAAAACATTCTAAATATGAACCATGTGTTCATAGTTAAATTTAGCAGCCTAACATAATCTGCTCTAATCTAAACATTTCAGATTCTATGTGATTTGCAGATTTTAATTGAATTTGTGTTTCTCCACAGCAGAAATCCAATTTTCTAATATCTTGTTTCCCAGGACACATATTTACATATTGAAGTTTGTGCTTCTAGACACTAGACACTAGCTGTTGCTGACTATAGAAATTTTCATAGATGCAAAATAGAAAAGACCAGTCGCAATTAAAAGTGAAGTGAGTGACTTGACATGTGTATGGTATGGTGTCATACTCGGAATTTGTGCTCTGCATTTAACCCATCCAAGTGCACACACACAGCAGTGAGTTGAGAACACACTCACACACACACACACACACCTGGAGCAGTGGGCAGCCATTTTTGCTGCGGCTCCCGGTGAGCAGTTGGGGGTTCAGTGTCTTGCTCAAGGGCACCTCAGTCATGGGTATTGAAGGTGGAAGAGAGCACTGTACATTCACTCCCCCCACCTACAATTCCTGCCTGTACTGAGACTCGAACCCACGACTTTTGGGTTACAAGTCCGACTCTCTAACCATTAGGCCACGACTGTCCCCTACATTCACTATGACCAATCAGATTTCAAATGTAAGTATTAGATCGCACTGTACATTCCCGCCCCCCACCTCCAATTCCTGCCTGTACTGAGACTCGAACCCACGACTTTTGGGTTACAAGTCCGACTCTCTAACCATTAGGCCACGACTGTCCCCTACATTCACTATGACCAATCAGATTTCAAATGTAAGTATTATGATACCATTGATGTTGGTGAGCACGTAAGAGACTTTCAAAATTCAGTCTTATTTCAAAATTCTTCCTTTACGCTCCATCTTGTCTTTCGAAACCCTTATGACTTATAGCATAATGTCCGTTCTGCTCTCAGGGAATGGTGACCACAGCTCTCAAAAAAGATTTTAGGTAAATAATGACTTCAGTCTCGGTCAGGAAGGCTTAAGGGTCAGTGCTGGGTTACTATGATCACTGCATCCAAGACAACACATTCTTTTTTCTTTGTGATCTTGTTTGATCTCTATTCAAATTGTGTTTCCATTGTCACTTGGCTAAACGCCATTACAGACAATCCGAAGACATTCCTTAATTCCATAAGGCATCCATTGAATCTGTACAGATAACTACCTTACATAATGCTTTGTTTGTGTTTCTTCCTCTCATCAGGGGTATCGGCCCAGCTTACAAACACCCGGCTAAGGAGGAACACCTCGGTCGGAACGCCCTTCTGGATGGCACCTGAGGTAGGACTGTTGGCAAGTAGTTTGCAAAGCATCGAGGCGACTTTGTGGAGTGCAAATGTTTTTCTTTACTTGGCTTTTCCATAAGATTTCCATATGAGATAGGGAAAGAGGACTACAGCTCTGAAGTTGTTTTGAGAGTCAAAATTTTCATATGACTCAAGGGTAGAGGCTTACGTGCCTCAATTTGTCCTAGGTGTCAATACAATCAAAACACAAACAGCGATTTATTATTAGTGCAGACTTCTAAACATCTGCGGGGAACATTCTGGGTTGATTTCTGGACTAATCGAATGGATTAAATACTAAAGACGCTTGACAGTTTATTTGTGTTTCTGAGGTAAGACCACCTGTATTCCATTTTGTGTTTTTCTATCCGCATAAGGTTTACTGTACAATAGTATAGGTTAATGTAGAGGTCTAAACAGATTTTTTAAATGGAGAAATACATTTATTTTTTCACAAAAATACTTTTAATTTGCAGCTCTTTTGCTTTAGATTTGTTTTATATTTCTCTCATCCCTGATTAGTCTCTCTCTCTTTTTTAAATTATATTTCTATCTTCAATTTTTTTTTAAGAATATAAAAATATTAAATCAAAATGCTTTTAGTGTGTGTAATATTCTTATGTATTTTCTGTATTATTAAACTATTACTATTCTGCACTATAAGGTCCCAGTTTCAGTTGCTTGTGTAGTACAACATACTGTATGTGCAAAACATAATATAATTATATGGTGGAAGAACACTTTATTTCATAGAATGGACTTACCAGTGTAGAATCTCTTTGAATTTAATTTAATAAAATCCTTTTCTGTCATTCTAATTCCAAGTCAGTATTCCAACTGCTGAACTGAAAGGGAGCCACTTCTTAAATTCTGAATATTATCCAACACTGCGCATTTGAAAAACTGGCTTTTATTGACATTTTCTAATTCCATTTCTTAATATAAAAATATTAAATTGCATTTAATTTGTGTGACTTCTTTGCTAGCTAGTTACATAGAGTTAAGCTGGAAATTTTTTTTTAATATACATATTACAAAAAAGGTGAATTCACTGTGCTCAACCAATGGTGCAGGGTGCATAGATCATCGTAATTACTCCAAATGAAAAAAGCAGGATCCACACTCACTTGAAAATGTAATGTTTTCTTGAATTTTTCATTATACAGGAAGCACAAATGGATCATCAGGATCATAAATATACATATTACAAAAAATATGCTCTTCACCTTTTGGTGGAAGTAATTTTTTCAATGTATTTATTGTCAGATTATGACCAATAAACATGACAATAAAATATGTGTAACATTTTGTTCAACATATATACCGGTGGAAGTTATTTCTGTGCTCTGGTGACAGTGTTCAGCAGTCAGTGTCCGTTATAAACATTTGCAGTTCAGTAATGACTGTGTTTGTGTATTTGACCAGGTCATCGCGTGTGAGCAGCAGCTCGACTCCACGTATGACGAGCGCTGTGACGTGTGGTCTCTCGGGATCACGGCCATAGAGCTGGGTGATGGAGACCCGCCCCTGGCTGATCTTCATCCAATGAGAGCTCTCTTCAAAATTCCAAGGTGACCCGCCCTCATGTTTGTACGTTTGACACTTGTTGTACACAAACACTGATTTGCATGACTACTGTACACGATATTCAGATGATATTCAAAAAGACCTCACAGTCCACGAGGTCAGGTTTGTGTCAGTATATGGAATCATTTGTGATTTTAGCATGCAGGTGGATGGCACTGCTGCTTATTTGGGCCTTGGAGCTGTCAGAAGCCAGGCTGGTTTCAGTCAGATCTTTTTTTGCGGGGTTACAGCAGCTTTAAAGTGCCTGGCGCCCCTGATTGGATGGCGGACTAAAAAGTGACAGTGATGAGTGCTGCGTTTTACCCAAAGTTGGACATTTTCAGCGCCTCGTCACGCTTCTGCCGTTTTAAAAACACGGCGCTCCCGCTGAAAACAATTGAAAATTTTTTTTTAAATACACTAACATCTCTGAAGCTATTGGCAGCTGTTATGATAGACAACATTCAATTGGAGACTATTCAGAAGTTGTATGAATCTATTCTAAGAAGGTTGGAAGCTGTATTAAGGCAAAGGTAACACTTTGTTTTGATGGTCCCCTTTAGACATTCTGTTCGCTGTAAGTAACTTTCCAACTATGTGTCAGCTACTAGTCATTAGAGTATTATCAGCTTTATATCTGCTAACATTTTATCCGCTTTTCCACTGTTAGTCTGAATGGTTTTAAAGGTCCCCTGAAATGCTTAGAAACACGCAGCGTTACTCTGTGTTGACGTCATTTTAACTGAAACAGGAAGACAGGGCGGGACATATCAAGCAGCCCCGCCCCTTTTAAAAATAGCCAATAGCGTTCGTTTATATCACAGCTTCGTGCCGTTCAGAGCCGTTGAGCTCTGTAAAGCCGCATTTGACAG